TCAGTTTTTTTGGGGTGCTCTTTATACTCGGATCACCTATCAGCATACAAGGTACATAAGTGAGTTGGCAAATCCATTTAACAGTCCCTTCCTTCCTTATCAACAGCCACATAAGCAGGGTTGCCATGTCAGCTTCCCCCAAAGGACTATAGTTGTCAAGAATACTTTTTTCAAAGGGTGAAAAATGCAGTTACCAAATCTCTTCCTTTTGTTGTTCAGAAGTTTCAGGAGAAGGTGGAGGTGTCCATGGAGTAGGCCATGTTTTTGCAGTTTTGATTGGTTCATTATCATCATTGGCTGGTGGAATAACTTACTGCCTTATCAGGGCTGCAGCAAAAGCCTCTGACCAACCTATGTAACTTTGACTTTTTCATTTTATTATTATTATTAAATTTTTTATATAAAATAATAATTTTGTTTTCTGTTTCAGGGGTACTGTATTTGCATTTGGCCTTCTCTCTAGTCCTGTTGCAGCAATATGCATGATTACCACCCAAGTAAGTAAGACTATATGATTTGGGGTAAAGATTATATTTTATTCAATTTGGTGTGTTTATCTTTATATCTTATTTGTTCAATATTTTTGTTGCAGGAGTTTGTGCTTCCTAGCTTCTATTCTTTCATTCTTATGATTGTTCTCAGCATATTGGCCTTTTTTGCTGAGGTAAATAAGCTTAATCTTAACTAATTGCTATCAATATGGGCATTGTACTTTATATTCTAAAATTTGCCTTAAAAAATAATATTATTTTGCTGTAGTTATTTCTGGCACGTGGGCTTCAACTTGAGAAAACCAGCAAAGTTGCAAATATTCAATACCTTGAGGTAAATTCTAATTCTGGGCAAGAAACATGTTTCATTTTAAGCTTCAATTAAAAAAAAATGGCTTCAAACTTTCATAATAAAGTAAAAGTTTTGGGTTCTTTTTTTGAGAAAACATAAAGAACATATTCTTGATGGATAAAAGAGGGTATATATTGTAACCTTTTTTAGTATGCACAGTTGCACAAATGCATCTACCTTTATTACAAAGAGCGCAAAAATGTCAATATGATAATTATGGAATAATGTTTTTTTTTTTTTTTTTTTTTTTTTTTTAATTACAGGTGGCTTTTTTTGAGTTATGGGGAATGGGATCTTCACGGGTGATTGTGTCATTTGGTAAATTTGTTGGATGCTTTCTTGTATTTGTTTCAGCTTTTTGTACCATTTATTTTGGACCAGAGAAAGAGATAGAGATGGAGTGACGTCAGCATGTCTTACAAAGGTTAGCCATGCCATGTCACCACCCATTTTTGGTTTTGTAAACATTTTTTTTTTCTGAAAGAAACAATATACCAACCATAATCAGATATATATAGAAACAAATTTGGTTTATAGCTACAATTCTTAATATTTTTTACATCAGTTCAGTTATTTTTAAATAAAAATCCAACTACATGATGTAATATTATCTAATTTACATGTCACCAAATCAGGGATAGAATAAGATAAGTTGATACTTTTCGTTATCTTAGCTACAATTATAGTATAAAAGTTAATGAAGTTTGTTGTTTAACAAAAAATATATTTGGATCATGCATGTTATTTGTTCAAGAGACATGGAAGTGTTTGGATATTTTATAAATGCGATTATTGTGTTATTTGATAATTATTTGTTTTCTACAAAAAATTAATTTTTAGATTAAACTATAAATTTAATAGTTATTTATAGTTTTTGTCGGAAAGTAGACCGGTAGATGCTTATGCGGAGCTTGACATTTTGTAACCATCTTGAAGTTTGAATTCTAAAATTGCTTTAAACTTCTTTTAAGTAGCACATGCTGTATAGTGGCAAAAACCAATATGAAATGAACAAATGGTTGATGCAACATGACATAAATTTGAACATGACACAATTTTGAAAATCTTAGATTGAGAATTTCAATTCAAAAATGACCCATATATATATATATATATTATATATATATATATATATATATATATATATATATATATATATATATATATATATATATATATATATATATATATATATATATTATTTGTGAGATTCATGTATTATATGGTTTATTTAAAAAAAATCTAAAAATCTAAATATCTAAATAAATAATTTAGATAATTAAACAAAAGAAACTAATGAGGTTTTAATTTAAGAATTTTGAAATTAAAAGGTAAGTTATGAAATTGATATTTATTTATTGTTATATTTATTATAATTATTACATTTAAATACTATATGAAATTTAGTAAAATATAAAAAATCATAAAATGATATGTATAAAATAATTAATTTAAAATAACTATAAAATGACTTGCCAGCAAAATAAATGAGAATATAACATGTATAAAAAAATATTTATTTATTAGAGTAGATTAGCGAACGAAAACCTAAACCATATGAATTACCATATATTCATAGAAACTTTGGGTTAGATTGCTTTGTAACATGAAGTCAAACAACTTAGTTATTGGATTAAGATTTTATTTTTAAGTTTTATTTTCTTTCTCATACCCCATAGTCTCACTCCTCCTTGGACCGGTGCCCTCCAACTCCTCTTTTCACTTTAAACTTACTATTAATATCACTTTTTACTCTTCCTCTCCCAACTTTTGCTCTTTCCGTATTTTTTATTTTTATTTTCTTTTAGTCTTCCCAACTCTTATTCTATTAACATGTTTACAACCCCGACATAACATAATATATTTATTGGGTCTAAACCCTAATCCACTAACTTGATACGAAAATAAACATGTTGATACGAGACCATACGATAATTAATAGATTAGATTATGATAAATATCTCTTAACTACTTTAGTGGTTCAACTCCACATAAACCCCACACGACATATTTATCACGTTTAATATGTTGGATAGTAGATAGATTGATAGTAAAAATAACATGGAAACAATTTTGGCTTTGTAAACCCTTTGAATTATGTTAAAAAAAATACAAGGTTTAAATTTAATTTTTTGAATCAACAATTAATTAATTGATCTTTTAAACCAATTATGGATTTATATTTATCTTTTAACCAAATCATTATTTAAATATTATGTCAAAATTCATTAAGGATAATTCCATTTAAATATCTTATAATGAAATATTAGGTTTCCTTATTTACTTTCTCAAAATTCGAATTAGGGTTTTAAATTTATCTAGCATTATTAGGTTCGGATTTTAACAGTTAAAATAACAGATAATGACTAAAATTTACCCTACTAATCGAATTAGGTAATCAGAACCCCAAAAAAACGGATTTTTGACAAGGCACCCTGTGCTTTTCTTGATTTTTGTTTTTCTTATTTCATCTATTATGCACTATCAATTGAAAAACATGGTTTTGATACCACTGATGGAATTTATAGGTTACAGAACATTATACATGCGAAAAATCACTTAACTCTTAAGGGTACATGCAACCTATCGGATCTATGTCTTTTATAATTAATAGCAACATACTTATGAAACTAAACTAAGAACCCCATGATATAATTGAAATTATTAGGATGGAATACATACCTTTATGTCATAATTGTATATAACACTTTATAATCCTCAGATTTGCTTCAGAAAGCTATTACAAAAAGTATGACCGCTTATGAAACTAAACTAAGAACCCCATGATATAATTGAAATTATTAGGATGGAATACATACCTTTATGTCATAATTGTATATAACACTTTATAATCCTCAGATTTGCTTCAGAAAGCTATTACAAAAAGTATGACTGTCTCTAATGACTCACACCCAAAACCTTATAAACCCTATAATGAAGAGGAGATAAAGGATGGAGGAAGAGAATTTTATTTTTCAACCTTTTAGGAAGTTAAGAACCACAGAATTTCATTTTTCAACCCTATAAACCCTATAATGAAGAGGAGATAGAGGATGGAGGAAGAGAATTTCATTTTTCAACCTTTTAGGAAGTTAAGAACCACGAAATTAATGAGCCATGGGGTCATATTTATAGCTAAGGGATCACAAGGATAAACCCTGATTTGAATAATTAAATATCATATTTAATCTATTCAAGACAATTATCTTTATCAGTTATAAAGAGCCTTGCAGACCATTCTAGAACCCTTATGAAACCATCCACATTAGGAATCATATAGAATTGTCTTTCTTGCTCAGTTATGAATAATTACAAGTTAACCCTTGCACTTTTAATTAATTCCATTTATTCTCGAGTTAATTCTAGATTAATTTTGATTAATAATTAATTAATTCCAACCATTTCTAATTAATTCAAAGTTAACTATTATCTATTTATAATTAATATATTAGTCATATAATATATTAAAAAATCATTTCTAACTATTTCTAGTTATGAGGGCAACATAAAAATGACTTTGCTCTTGTGCATAAGATTACACCAATTTAGTTAAGATCTTATACACTTAATCTAACAATATAACTATAGATTAGGGCGAGAATTCTATTTAAGCTTAATCCTTTAAGTCGACCAAAAATAAAAAAAAGTTATTAATATTACAATATGTTTAAAAAACCCAAGACTGTTAGGTCAAATACCTAACTTGGTATTGTAGTACATAGGTCGTGCCACAACTAAACCTAGTTGTGCGCCTAAGATTTATTATAGACCGACCATATGAACTACCTAAATTAAGTATAGTTGATAGTCAAGGGAACTTAGGAATTATAACACCATGTTTCGGGTCGTTTCTTAACGGGGTCGTGACCCGAAGATAAATTATCATAAGGCTTCGGGCTTTGAGGAAAGAGAGGTTTAGACCCATTTGGATTTGGGTAACGTAGATTATGTAATCCAAGAGTTTGGTTTGTGCTTTGGAGCCCAAGAGTCTAATGGTAAAAGTGATGGTTCAGACATTTTATTGAATTTAGGATATAAGTTCGGGTGATTTTAAGTTGAAGGAGAATATATGGGATTATAGGGTTTCTAATTACCTTTCCGAGCATATAATGAATGCCGAAAATGGATTAGGGACGCGAAAGTTGTGATATTTAGAATTTACGAAAAATTTAGGTTAAGCTGAGTACGTTGGGCGTACTTGGCAGGATTGATTGCAGAGGACAACCTGGTATGTTGGGCGTACCAGGAGTACGTTGGGAATATGTGACCTAGACTCAAACCCTAATTTTGGATCTTGGATCCTATTTAAAGTCCTTAACTCATTTCCAACCCTCCTTACCTTCAACTTCCATCCTATTAACCTATTTCCTCAAAATACTAGCCTCATTTGAAAGATTATTGAGCCTTTGAGTGATTTTGGTGGGTTTTTCGTGCATTTGGAAGAAGAAGAATTCACTGCAGAAGTGTTGGTCGTCTTGGAGCTTGTAGATCCAAGCCTTGTTCACCTTGATCTATCTTCTAGAGGTATAAAGTTTCAAACATGATGGTTATTTTATGTATATTTAGCATTGGTTCATTATATGAGCATATTTTGGTCTAATGGTTTGGATCTTGTGAGTAGAAGTTACTCCAAAACCTTTAAGCCCATTATTAGTCATTTTTAGGTCATTAAGCTATAAAAATCAGATATTGATGAGTATAATCCTTCCATGCATGAGTTGGTGGTCTTTTGATGAAGTTAGAGATTTAGGGCTTTGGTTTGGACACTATTAAGCCATGAAAAGTCATAAAGTCAGGATTTTTATGACTTAGGATGTCCCATATGAATCAGATATGGAAGTTATACATGTTGTCTTAAGGCATTAAGAGGTTTTGAGTTGATTTTGGGCTTTAATATGTTGGGCGTACCAAGTTGCTACCCGGGGTGTATGCACCTAAATGGCTATTGGGTCATTTTTTGGCCTTGAGTTATTTTGGTTTGGACCTTGCTTTGTTGGGCCAAGTATAGGAAGGGTAAAATAGCCTTTTACCCATTGGTATGATAGAATATAAATCAGACCTTGGATTATGGGAAATTGTCTTAATTATTGATTACGGATAATTTAGATGTGTTCAGTGTGAGGAGTCCGGTAGCAACAATGTGTGTGATTTGGTTATCTCTAGATTGAGGTGAGTCTGTTCACTATAATGTAGGACACTAGGTTCGTATATGCTTGTTGTATTTGTGACTCTTGTTATATGCCTATATGCATGCTTGCTATATGCATGTGGGGTGAAATAGACCCGGTACAACCTTGAGCTGACTTTTGATTTGAAACAGACTCGGGGGTGAAATAGACCAAGTACAGCTACCTACTGTTCGAAAGGGAAAGGCCCGACATGACTGCACAACATCCCCAAGAGTTTATTCCGCATTTGATTAATCGTGATCATTACTCTGATGTTTAAATACTATTTTTGACATCGAATGATTTTGGGAATGGAATGTTATATGAATCAATGTTATCAAAATAA